CTGTGGCCCAACAATTTTTGTCCTACTTGCATGTACAGCTTCGACTCACAACTCGGGCCGACCTTTTTTTGTCCCAGTTGCAAGTCCACACATGACTCGCAAGTGGGGTTCGATTTTTTTGGCCCAATTCGCATCTGGGGGCCCGACATTTTTTAGTTGCAAGTCCATACTCGACTCGTAGCTAGAGCCTGATTTTCCCCCAGCTGCAATCCCACCCTCGACTCACAACTAGGGCCCAACCCATTTTTTCCCACTTGCGTGTCCACCCTCCACTCGAAATTGGGAGCCGAACTTTTCTTGTCCTAGTTGCAAGTCCACCATTGACATGCAATTAGAACTGTAGTTTGTTTCATTCCAATTGCAAATTGATCCTTGACTCACAACTGGGGTCGTAGCTTCCTAGTTGTCCCAGTTGTAAGTTCACTTCACAATTGGGCTGATAGTTCTGCCAATTTCAAGCCCACCATCGACTCGCAACTAGGCATCTGTTTTATTTTTCATACCAGTTGCAAGTCCACCCTTGATTCGCAATTGGGACCATATTTTATTTCATCTCAGTTGCAAGCCCGCCATTGACTCAGAACTGGGTCATTGTTCCATAGTTGTCTTAATTGCAAGTCCATCCTCGACTCGCAAGGGCTCATAGTTTATTGTTGTCCCAGTTGCAAGTCCACCCTCGACTCGCAACTGGGCCCATAATTTGTTGTTGTCCTAGTTGCAAATCTACCCTCGACCCGCAACTGGGATGTGTTTTATTTTTCATCTTAGTTGCAAGTCCACCCTCAACTCGCAACTCATATCATAGTTTTATATACTTGTCTTAGTTACAAGTCCACCCTCAACTAGCAACTAGGACCATAGTTTTTTGTTTTATCCCAGTTGCAAGCCTACCCTTAACTCGCAACTGGGCATGCGTTTTTGTCTTTCATCCTAGTTGCGAGTCAAGGATGACTCACAACTGGGAACGTAATTTGTTTTATCCCAATTGCTAGTCGACCATTGGCTCGCAACTGGTCTCATAGTTTGTAGTTGTCCCAGTTGTAAGTCCATCCTCAACTCGCAACTCACCTGTAGCTCTCCCAGTTGCAAGCCCACCCCTTGACACAACCAAGCTTGTGCTTTGTTTTTCAACACGCAACACACGCAACTTGCCCCGATCCCTAGTTCCATGTCCAACCCCAACATGTAAATCCGCCTGACCCAGTTGCATGTCCAAGCCAAACATGCAACTCATGCCCGACATAATTGCATGTCCACTCTCGGCATGCAACTCGTCCCCAACTATATAGTTGTATTGATTTTGGCAAATACATGACCACTTTACACACAGCATATTTTTCTGTATAGACGGGGAACATTTTTAACACACATTAAACATTTTTTAAATACATGATGAATATTTTTTTTCAAATATAGGCCCGAGCATTTTCATAATAGATGGTAAAAAAACTTCAAACTCCTACTGTTCATTTTTCTAAATGGTATGAAACTTTTTTAAAAGAATTATGCGAACATTTTATTTACATTGCATAAAAAATTCTAGAAAATGTCGTGTTTTTTTAAACAAGTGAGGTTTCTTTTAAAAATTGTCACGAACATTCTTTGAATGTTAAGATTCTTTTCCATTGTATATAATTTTTTTAAACATCAAGAAACATTCTTTTGAAATACATGTACATTTTTAAAATGTCAACATTTTTTAGACGGTGCAAACACTTTTTTTTATTGAAAGTTGATTATAAAAATAAAGATAGAATAAATTTATTCTTTTAAAAAAATGTTTGGAATCTTCAAAAGTGTCCACATTCTAGAAATTGTTCGGGATTTAAAAAAATTATTCATGGCTTCAAAATTTGTTTGAGAAAAAATTGATCGGAATACCAAATTTTCTTCTTACTTTTCAAAAATAAAATCAGAATTATAAAGTCTGTTCAAATTTGAAAAATACTTTCCAATTTAAAATTGTTTGTGTTTAAAATAATATTCGACATTTAAAAAATCACAATATGTAGAAAAGGTTTCAAAAAAATTCAAACATCTCCACTAATCTGGATGCTATTCTATGTTCTTATAGGTTTCCCCGTTTGCTTTATTATAGTAGCAAGCATTGGTTGGAGTGGCAGGAGCTCTCGTTGCCTTGCACGAGGTCGAGTTAAGTTCCTACTTAGCACATTGTTCACTTTATTTTTGTCGCAGTCCAGTCGGAAAAAAACAAATAAGATGTTATCTCACGTCTAGTTGTTATATAGACAGACCCTTTTACCTAACTGTTTATGGGTCTGTTTAGGACACATCTAGATGTGACATAACTATGTCACATCTAACCTGATATCTATTATGTTTGTGATCTTTTTTTTTTGTCTCAGCTTTTTTTTGTTCCTTGTTGCTCTGTATTTGTGAGAGCTTAGATGTGACATTTTTAAAAAACATTTAGATGTGAATTAGGCAAACTGTTTACCTGATATATAAATTTATTATTTGGGTTTGTTTAGGACACATCTAGATGTGGCATAATTATGTCATATCTAAACTAATATCCACTCTGTTTGTGGTCTATTTATTTTGTCCTAGTTTTTTTTGTTGCTGCATTATATATTTGTGGGAGCTTAGATGTGATATCCTTAAAAAACACTAACACATATGCCTGTGCATTGCAACGGGAGTGAATATTAGCGTGTTCACCAGTGTGTCATGATAGCATCCAGAAGGTATCACACAACAGGAAGACACAGATCATGCTCTAAAAAAGTGCATATCGGCCATACATTAATCACGCAACAACCCTTAACACATGTGCTAAGGATCAATTAATTCTCCTTATAACCCTAACATCTACACTTAGTTAGCTTTACACCTTCGCATATCCAATTTTTAGCACACAGCTTGACCTCTCTATGACACACGTCCGACTTGTAGCAATGGCGGTCATTCTTATTGTGTCCATGTGGTCGGCTTTGCTACATTGTCCGTATGACTTGTTGTCTTGGCATCACTTATGTAATTGGTTTTACAGCACGGCGGTCCAACTTTCCAATAGAAAAATAATAGCAGCTAATGGTGTTATATTGGCGTGCTTCCGTATGTAGCAAGCAATTGGCCTTCCAACGTTGTGTTCTGCTTGGAGCAACAGGGCCTAAAACTGTTGTGTGTGCCGTTTGCAGTAACAATGCTCGATTGAAAGTTGAATGTAGATTAACCAGGTATTTTTTTCAAGAATGTAAAACTTGGTATCGGCAAAAACACCGAGAAATAAAAACATTTCCTTGCACATTAAAAAGGTTAACATGCCGCCCAAAAATCAAAGCTGACGGCAGGTCATTTACTTCTTTTTTCCATTTTTGAGTAGTTTGCGAGCAAGACCCGATTGATCACATGGAAAGAAGGCAGCAACATCTCTCGTGTTGCACACATGTCGGGGGTTGTTTTGTTAGTGCGCATTAAGATTCATCCATCACTCACCAGCTATATATACCACTCCAACAAGGTATCTTATATCTTTTGTTAGTTAGATCCAGTCATGTCATACACTCCATCGGGCATGCAAGCACACCCCGAGCCTACAATCCAGCCATACTTCCCACATTTCCTTTTAGAGCCAACATTTAATTCTTTCGCCAGACTCTATTCCAACAATTTCATTTAATTAGAGCCAACTTTAATTCCTTCACTCCCGCACCATATCCTTCGTTTGGGCTTGATGATCTCGACAACTATCCGACGTATATAAACAGATGGATTTTTGTGGATCAAAGCGAGATGGGATAAATATTCAAGCGAACCCTCTCTATCTAATTTTTTTTGCACTTTTAAAATTTTCAAAAAAATGGTTGTGTTTTCGTATTTGTAAATAAATAAAGAATTGCATTTTCAAAAAATGTTCGTGTTCTGAAAGTTTGTTCGGAATGATTTCATTCTATTTTTCACAACTTTTAACAAATGTTCAGAATTTCAGAAAAGGTTCCCGTTTTCAGAGATTGTTGACAAATCTTAAAATTATTCATGTTTTCATTTAGACTAATATCCATTCTGTTTGTGGTCTATTTATTTTGTCCTAGTTTTTTTGTTGCTGCATTATATATTTGTGGGAGTTTAGATGTGACATCCTTAAAAAACATTTAGATGTGAACTGTTATTGTTTTTGCCAATTGGAGGGCTCCGAGTGGACGGACGCGACACAGCACGCACCGACCAGTTGTCTTGCACAGTTGCACGCGGCACAGCCTGACCACCACCGACCACCGTCCGCACAGATCACAGTGCATATCACGTGTATTGCCCGTCCGCACTGTCAGGTCGGTAGCACAGCTCCCGCAACAAAAGCAAACACTCGATGAGTGTGTAGCCACCCGTGCCCTCCGGCTAGTCGCTACCCCTGAGTCCGTAGCCTGCCCAGCATCAACACGTGCAGACGAGACACCCAGCCTGCATGCTCTATGCATCTCCGCACTACATTCTGAAGACATCCACGCATGAGCCTCTGAACCCGTGTACAATACTATTACTTTCTGCACGGCTTGCAACCCGGTGCCGATGAGATTGTTGGCACCACGGTCGAAGAGCAATGAACCGAATCTTGCCTGTACCAGAATATTTTAACCACTGCAAAAGCCGTCCTGCATTTGTGTTTCAGAATTGAGTCCTTTGTGCTGAATTTGAATTGCGTCCAGGCTTCTGAACCTCCTATATAAACCCCCATTGTCCCCGTCATACTCACCTAGCAAATCATATCAGTGTAACCTTAAGTTAGAGTACATCGCCCCTCCCCTTGCAAAACCACCAGCATCAGGCAAGCAGAGCAAATGGCGTCGACCTCTCGGCGTATGGTTGCGTCCGTTCTCTTCGTCGTTCTCCTCCTCGTCGCGACAGGTGATCTTAACTAGTCTTCTCAATTTGTAAGTCGAGCGGATGCTCAGATATGCACCCTGAATCTAGTTAGGCCTACGTACATGCGTTGTGTACGCCATTTGTGTCTGACCCCACGGAGAAATAAAACTGCAGAGATGGGGGCGACGAGGGTGGCGGAGGCGAGGCACGGGCACAGGCTCTGCGAGTCACAGAGCCACAGGTACCGCGGAGCGTGCTGGAGGGTTTGATGCTAAAAGTTGGCATGTCAAATTTTGGCAAGTACCAAATGTTGGCTAGAGATTGGTTGCTTGCCAATTTTCGCTGCCAATCTCACAAAAAATTGTCAATTGTTGGCAACTTTTGATTTTGCTAAATGTTGGCTTGCCAAATATTGGCAATGCTAAATGTTGGTAGCAAACCAATTATACTCGAGAACTGCGCGCACGTCTGCAACACTGAGGGCTTTCCCTCGGGCAAGTGCAAGTTCCACGGCTTCGAAAGCAAGTGCTTCTGCAAGAAACCCTGCTAGCCACTTCATCGGCCGATGGATCGGCTGGCTAGTTAGCCGCGCACCACGACCGCCCTCCTGTCTTCAGAGTGTTCCTCCCCTGTTCGTGTACCGCTTTCCTTATTCCGAATAAGCACTGCTATACACACGATAAATCCATGCACGATCTGCGCACGACAACACATCTACACCCTTGGGTTGCCTCGCTTTGTAAATCTTTGTGGCCCAAATCATTTCGTGTGTGGATCGTGCATGCACAGTTCGTGTGCACAGCACTTCCGATTCCGAATCTAGTAAGGTCTACATGCGTTGTGCATGCCATTTCCTTATTATACAAGTGTTTTGCTTCATACGGTGTAATCTAGCTAGGGTGCTAATAAAAGTTGGCCGTCGGTGTGCTTGGACGTCTTTTATCACATTGTAAATGTGCAGTGTAGCCCAAATACCATCACTACTGCATAACGAGCCCCTGTTGGACTTTGCTGTTGGACCACCTATGTGCCGCTCGCTGCGGACTAGTGCGCTGTTTCACACAGGACAAGCTGGAAGAACACTCCCGAGATAAACTAAAAATCCATCCCGAGGGATGGGCATCTTTTCTTTACGTACTCCCTTCATTTCATAATGTAGTGCTTCCTCTATCCCCGTGCTTTAATTTTGATCGTAAATTTAACTACCAAGTCCGATTGCGGCGGGAGCAAAAGTTATATCAGTGAATTCGTATTCGAAAGAAGTTTTTAATTACATAACTTTTTCTCCCGCCGCAGTCGGTCTCGTTCGTTAAATTTATGGTCAAAGTTTAACCTCGGAAAGCGCAACGCACTATATTTTGGAATGGAGGGAGTAGTACCTGTTGACATAGCATTATAGATTGTAATATCACTGTTGCTACCATAAGGATCAATGTGTCTTCTTCCTCCGATTCCCCCTACACATATGGGATGCTCGAACTCTGCTATGGATTTGTGACCACATTCTTCATAGGTCTCTTTTAGATCTTCTTTCTACAATCTTGGATTGGGGAAGGAGGAGATATTCGCGACTACTGGTGGTTTCATTATGGGGCGGCACAGAAACATATTGCTTTCAATGCGATTTCCGTTGCTTTCTTTGATTACGTGCATTTAAAGGTGATCCTCTGATATTGGCCCTTCTGAATCATCCAGCAAGGATTGAAAATCCGATCTCCCTTCCCCACCCAATCAAGAAAGAGAATTAACGAATCGACACCTTGAGCATGGGAAAGGGGTGCGTGCTGAGCTTTTGAATGACCCCATGCCATTTCCCCCCGTAAAACCAATGCTCTTATTTACTATACCTAGCAGCTAATATCTCCAGACTGTTTGATCCATCAGTAGACCGAGAGGTCGAAAGTAGAAGTTCCCCAACCATTGAGATCTTCCTCTTTTAGTCTAATCTCTAACCATTGAAATATGACTTGATGCTCCCACAAGTGCAGAAGGAGTCAAAAACATCATTTATAGTGGAAAACCCGTCATCTTAGTATAACCAGCTTTAATTGCTTTAGCTTTGTGCTCTTCTTGAGCAATGTGTGAGAATAAATCTCAAGTGATTTTTAGCTTTCCGCCAAACCAAAAACGAGAGACAATTGGGGCCAATTATTGATCTTACTTTCCCTCAATATAAGTATTTTGGATTGGATAAACAATCCTAATTTCATTCCAATCATAAAACAAGGGAAAAGATCAAGGGAGAAAACATTTAAAGAAAACTAACCCTAACAAACTTGAATTTGTTGAGCGAAAAGAAGAATTCAACAGTAAGAAAGGATGAATACATTGAGATGTTTGGATCTTGGCTAAATTTATAAGCGAAGAATGCATGTGAATAAGGTTTTGGGATAATATGAGTTGACTCGGGTGGCTTGGTTGTGCTGCGGCCCAAGCAAACCTGTTGTATAGGGTGGTTACTTGGTAATACAAAGCGGGGACCCTTTATTGTCAATATGAATTGACTTGTCAAAGAAGAATTTTAATTATTTAATAATTTAGATTTTTCTTTGACTATACTTTTATGTGTCGAATTAGTCGGCACAATATTCTTAAAACAAACCCACCTCTCAGATACACAATAAAAAACATCCTCAATGAGTGAAAGATTCATGTTTGAATTGTCTAAATTCTAGCAAGAGGTAGCAGTTATATCCATCTGGTTGTCAGCTAACTGTGAATTGATGGCTTGTTTCACGAAACCACGCAAACAATCTTTGCAGGTATTGGATATCGCTGACGGTTTGGAAGATTCGGTTATGTAGCTGTGCTTGCAAACCGGTTTAGGGAGTGCCCAAGGTTCATTCTTTAATCGCTACCAGGGGCGTTCTACTTCTAACTAGGCCAGTCCATTTGCCCGCACTGTATCAAGCCGGCTATCGTAACAATCTGACAACTTTAGCGATTGATCTTTTTTCTAGGGTTTTTAGTTAGCCTTTATATTCGGCTTTATGACAAACATGAAAACATATTTTTCAAAGTGAACATTTTTGGAAATTTTAGAACATTCTTTTTAAATTTTCATGAACATTTTTAGGAAAAAGGTGACTTGTTTGAAAAACATACAAATTTTTCAAAACTTCCGTTTTTTTTGAAAATTTTAATAAGTTTTTGGAAATTTCAAAAAATTGTGAAAATGTTAAATTTTTTTAAACACTACAACTTTATATTTCTTTGAACATTTTTTGAAATTGAAAAATTTCTATGAGAAGTTTTCTTTTTTTTAAATGTGAACATTGTTTGATTTTTGAAAAATAAAAATGTTAAGTTAAAGAAAAATATAAAAACACTAACGAAAAAACAGGAAATTGAAAACAAATGATCGACACCTCCTAGAAGATCACAAAAAAAGAGAAAACATGATACAAAAATTTTATGGAAGGTTCATGAGGCTGCAATCTAATATTGCCTATGCTAGCTAAATGGCCCAGCGCACCGAAGCGCTTGCTTTGCTTCTCATGTGCGAAATGTTGCCTATTTTACGCAAAATGCATCAAATAGGATTTCTTCGAGAACCTGTCGGTGTAGCATTGATGGACGCTAGATACCTGTTAGTGCAATGTAGAGGGGGGGGGGGGTGTTCCATTAACTGGCCAATTTTCTAACCTTCATGCACTAGCCAGCCCAATGACAGGATACAACCACAACAAGGATAGCCCTAAAATCTTATCTTTCGAATCTGCATGTCAGTTGTCGTCTCTCTACCGTCATCCTTCATGGCACTCTCCAATACCTATGATGGCACTATGGCGAGCTCCTCCACCTAATTGAGCAACACCGTTCTACTGTTCGTGTCAACACCATGCACGAAGGGCAACGACTATGTCTTTTTGCACGGATGACGGCGGCGGCGGCGGCTTCGTGGCCATCTTTGCCGGCTATCGGGCCAAGATTATCTCACCTCTTATGTTAAATTTCTTTCTTTGTCCCTGTTATCATTGACGGGCCGGACACCTGTTAGTACCAATGACATGCCTATACCATTATATAGTGTACGGACAACTTTAAATATTCGTCGCATGATAAAACCGATCCAACGATTGAGAGGTGGCAACTTTAAGTAGCAGTGTTGGTTGTTGGATATTCTCTTCATTACATTGAATGTTACCACGTGTATGTATTATCCAGAAGATTCCACTCTCCAGCTTAAACACAATGCATAATATGCACAAAAAGACACTTCTTCTTGGTTCTAGAATTTTCTGTAATTTATTTGTCTAACATTATGAAAACTTCAACAGGGCTAAAGGTATTTCAGGAAGTCAGGATTCACTACTAATGTACATAGAAGTGAACAGGTATAAAAGCCTGTCAATGGATAGGTTTTGGACTCATTTGTAGGTAACTCTGCACTAGTGGATGGTGAAGACGTGCAAGTAGAGAGGACAGCGCCTGGCTAAGCAACATACATGGGACAACTATACACAGACCACTTAGAGTCTGATTTTTTTTTAAAATTTTTTTGGCTAAAATAAAGGATCTGAAAACTTAAATCAGTTTTGATAATTAACATATTCACAGAGGGTTTGTTTTCTGAATTAAAAATGTATCCAAAAAAATTACATATATAGGAGAGGAGAATAAGAAATCAAGTTGTGGGGATTAGAGCATCTCTAGTAGATATCGGATAAACTGAAACTGAAAAACGTGTTTCCAGTACCCCGAAAACGATTTTACGGTATCACAAATGTCCATGTAGAATGGATATCGTAAAATCACACTGTAAAACTGTCATTTTTCTTTTCTTCATCTTCCTCAACGAGTCTATATTTTGCGTACGAATTGAGCGCCACTAAAGAAGCGCTCCTGCTCCCATCGCCGCCCCCATCCGGCTCGGGCGTTCCTAACGTTGGCCTCCCCCGCCTCGACCCGCCCCCTCCCGTGGAGGTGCTTCCATGGGCTGCGAGCATGGCCACCCTCGCCCGGCTCTCCTAGAGCTGGCCTGCCCCGCATCGACCCGCCTCCTCCGGTGGAGGTGCTCCCATGGGGGGCTTGGCCATGGAGGCGCTTCCATGCAGGTACTCGAATAGGCCACAATTTCGCGAGAAATCGGTGAGTAACAGACTTTCTTGCCAGGAATCAAAGATTAACGCCGGAATCGAGTCTACTCGTCGTGGAATCAAGCTTGGGAGTCGCTAGTGCCAGCACCAAGGGGGGTGCTGACTCGTTCCCGTTCACCTTAAAAATCGACTCCAGAATTGTAAGTATAGGGTATGTAGGTGATAATATCCGGGGGTGGAAAATATTTTTTGATTTATCCCGTTTTATGGATCTATTCGGTGCGTCTTTTTGGATCAAAACTGTAAATTTACGGGTTTGACCACTTTTTCAGGATCTGCTAGAGCACTCTCCTAGTTCGTCTAGTCTAACGTAACTTCGTCTTGTGCATGGGTGTGCATCCATGGAGCCTCGCTCCCTTCTGTGCTCCTCTAGTAGTCTACGTACTACTAGTTGGACGGTCCAATTACGAGAAGATCGTCCAAGCATAGCACGTACTCGTAGAGGGCAGGCCAGCCGGAGACGGTCGCGCGTCGTGGACGTGGGCTGGTCCACCACAAGAGCTTCAAACACATGTCGTGGTCGTCTCCCCCTCCACACAACGCGGCCGATACGTAGACAGGAAAGAAGTTGGACAATTCAAGATTCCGAAGGCACTATCCGAGGTTGATACGAGCGTTCGACCGATCCGATTCAAGGGCACATGGTGAACGCGGCCGGTGCACGGATCGTGTGGCAACACGTCGATGGTTCACGTGGGTAGTGCATCCTTTAAAAGCTCTACTACTTAATTCCGTGTCCTTTAGTAGCCCGATGAAGGCGTCGATCATGGCACATATGAGGGAAGAGTGTCGCCTCGCCCTCGCGTCCATATCAGGTACCTGTGGGCTGTGCCGCGTTGCTCCTAATATGCACCAATGGCAAAGTCCTTTTTATGGTTATTATTCCAACGTCATACAGAAATCAGCTAGACTAGACAGCAATAGAACCGTCGACGTATTCGGAAAACAAAGGCAGCAGCACAGCACTGACATTTTTCATCGTGGACAAAGAAAGA